CACACAGACCAGTTATGAACCCTACATAAAAATTGCCTGAGGATGGCCGGTTTTTTTAGCAATTTTGCGCAAAACTTGCTAGCAATTTCCATGATTTGGGCCTGATTCAGGTTGCGCAAATTTATTTTCTGGTTTTTTTGCAATTTTTTGGAGGCCAAAAAAATGTATTGGCTGAATTCTCCGCAAAAACCCCAATTTGAAAGTCGGCCTCGGAGGCGCGCTGCAGGCCCAAACTTCAATGAAACCGGCAAATCTGCGCCAAAAAAAACCCAGTTTTTTGCCGAAAGCTTCTCTTGGGTGTTTGGCGTGAACCCCACTCAACTCCATTGAAAAAACCGCACCCCAAAAGGGCCTTTCGCGATTAATCCCCAAAAAAGTAAAGTGTGTGTCATACACAGACCAATTATGAATTCTACATAAAAATTATCCCTGAGAATCGCCAGTTTTTGACCAATTTTGCCAGAAACTTGCTAGCAAATTTCCCGGTTAATCCACGAAGTTGATGACTCAAAAAAAAACTCAGAAAACAAAAAAATTTGGAACCAAAAGGCGAGTTTTTCACCCTGAACTCGACTCGATCTCTGGCCGCCACATAATCGACTGCCATCCGGCCCTTCTTTGATCATTTTCCCAATTTCCTTCGGCCCTTCATATCGGATTTACATCCAGATTTCTGCTCGCGTGGATGAGTTTAATACGCTATTTAAAACGTGGTTTGACACGTGGCCCTTGGCGCGTTCCGCTAAGGGCTAACGACTTGGCAAACTTCCCTTTATCACAGTTTAGGGCCCAATCAAGAGAGGCAAATGAGGAGTTTTCGGCGCCCTTCGATCCTCCACCAGCAAAGCGCCAGGCAGATTTTCAACAGAAAGATCGCACTCGTGCCCGATGGGCTAAAACTTGAACTTTAGTAGCTGGTAATGTGGATTCTTCTGTGCGTAATGTGGATTTCGGTCCAATTTTTTTTAGTTAAAACCACAACTGTTTCTTTCACCAGTCGAAATGCGGCTCAACATGAGCAACTCCTTCTGTTTGGCCCCTCACAGTTTTTTAAAGTAATGTGGATCATTGAGCTGGAATGTGGA